AAAACTATATCATAGAACTACCACACTGCAAAAAGTAGGATTTGTATTATTTGAAGGGGGACAAATTAATCATTTACAATAATGTATGCAAACAGTTCCCTTACCAACATAGAAAAGTACTGTCAAAAATTTGATATTTATATTAAGTGGCTCTGTACCAATCAATATGTGTAAACTGTAGTTGGGGGAAACAATCAGTTAGCTGTTTTCTTTTATCAGAGTATTGCACAATCGTTTTCCTTTATACACCACCTTAGTTATAAATATATTTTCTTCTAATAATCTCTGGACATATTCACATAAACTCCATGGTCACTGTGTCTTTGTAGTTATACCATCTCATGAGACGATACAGCCAAATTATGAATAATGGTCCAGTTGTCTGTTGAAACATCATAATGCAGAAGATGTGTGAACTGAGTATAGTTATTGGTGCCAGTTAGGGTGTTTGCAGATTCTTGAAAAAAATATTAAACTCCTGTAGATTTTGCACACCACAGAATCTAGAGTTTCCAGAGAATAAAGCCAAAAACAAAAAACCTCCAACGAGCAGTTCTGTGGGCATGTAACATCATTCAAATAATGTTTATTGCACAATCTCCTTACCCTTCTGTGCTCCTTCACCAGGGTGAAAGAAGCTTCAGATTTCAGCAGCTTATCCAATAACAAAGTCAGAAAAACAGGCAGGTCTTGTCAGGATTTAAAACTGCTCAGCAAAACTCCTCAGTTGCAGTCTAGACCCCATTCCATGGAAGGATACCAATAATAGATAGTGACTTGCTTCAGCAGGAAACCAGCACCGTCACATATTAGATAGAGAACCATGAAGAATAATGAATTCTGCTATTAACTGGATGTCCTAGTGACAACTGATAGGCACAATAAATAAGACAGGGAGTAAAATGGTTTAAAACACCTTGTCCGGCAGTTACTGTATCATGAAAGCTTCATTCTATCAGTAATTGATTTTTCAATATTTGGTCATATATTTCTTCTAAATAATGATTTGCATTTAAACATATATGGTGAATTCCTAACATGCAACATATTTATATACATTTGCCAATCAAAACTGCTTTCAATTTATTTCTGCCTATAACTTTGCACAAAAAATGTATATATTTTTCCCTAGCATATTTTCGTCCTTTTTATTAATGAGGTTGCAAATGGAATAATAATAAACACCCTACATGGCCATGAGCTGTGTTTATACCTTAAGCTTTTCTTAGCTACCTACTACACACTTTGTGGCATAATGGTGTTGATTTACTAAAGTCAAATATGTTGTGCACTTTGCAAGGGAATTTGCACTTTGCTAGGGAAGTTTAGCTTTACCTTAGCTTGGTGAATGTGGTGAAATGTCACTTTGCAAAGAATACCCAATCACATGCAAGGAAAAATAAATAAATATATATATATATATATTTTTTTATTTGATAGGACAATGGAAGTCAGCAGAGCTTCACCTCATTCATTAAGCTAAGGGGAAACTTCCGTGGCAAAGTGCAAATTTCCTTGCAAAGTGAACAGCCCTTTTTTCCCCTTTATTAAATTAACCCAATTGAGTTAGAAATTTCCAAAGAAAACGGATATAACACAAGAGGTTGCAAACTGTGAGAGGTACTGTGATAGTGAAAAACAAATCGGGGTTGTCAAATCACTCTACTAAATAAAAGTATATTGACACCCAAGAACAAAAATGTTATATATTGCAGCTTACTAGTCCTTAGATGTGGTGGTTGTATTAGTTTTCTTTTTTTTTCAAGCTAAGAACATTTTACCAAAGTACTGAAAAAACGGTTGGATCCTGATAGTAATCCGATATCCTTTAACTTTGTGCATACTGTACTGAAATATCAAACAATGCTATTAGCTTTCCTAACTATCTTCTTTGAACTACAAAACCCACCCTCACTATGTAATGGAGAAGAGGGAAGGGGGGTGTTTGGAGTCCAGAGCAGCTTAGGGTAACAATGTTCTTTCTGCATACATACAGTACAGTGAGTGTTGTCACCTGAGGACAGTAACTGTTTTACTGCGAGGATCACAGGTGAATATAAAGGAAAAAAAACTGAAAAGGCCAAATAATGGAGCCATCACATCTAAGGACTAGTAAACTGTAATATATTCAATTTTTGTTTTGGGCTAAACAAACATGTTTCCCACTAATTTACATGGCAGTGTTTTAGCATACAACTCCCTCCTATAAGGCAGGGGAAAGCACTTTCATTCATTGTTACTCCCTGCAGGTTCGTCCAGTCTAGTCTCTTGCTATAGATTAGTCACCATTAGGTAAAAATCATGGTTGAAGGTTGCCACTCTTTGACAACTTTTTCAGCAGACAGAAGTCCATCTGTCCACTGCCTTTTTCCTGATTAATAGCCCATATATTAGTTTGCCAGTATGCAAGAGGTTTGGACCACACTGGAACCATTTGTTATCAAATGACAGTTCCTTTAGTCCCCTACACAATGTAGAAAGCCAGAACCCTTCTAGGTCACCTACATCTGACAGCTCTGGCAATATTATACACATCTAATCTGTTGCGGATTGCCAATTTGGCCCCATTGCCAAAAAAGAAATCGCAGGCAGTGCACTGTGCAGGTTTGTAGTCAGGTTAGGAACACTGCTGAGGATGTCATATTTCATGCCTAAAACTATTTGTGACCTGACCTCAAGCTCTTTGCTGAGGGGCACTAAGCCAGCAGTAGAGGTATTAGGTCTCAGAAAAATTATGTCTACAACACTGTTGCTATAGGGGAAAGGAAAAAAAATGGAATTGTTTTCAGTAACTGAAAATGTTATCAGGCTACTAAAATTATTTTTTATAACCTTAAATAACAAAAATGTTTGGTAAAACTGTACTCTTCACTTAAATGAATGGACTTTTTAATAGCTTGATAACGCAATAAAAAATAAACAACGGTAAGCTTCAGGGAGTTGTAATAATATAAACAAGCCCTACCCACATAAAGAAAGGCAATCACAGAAATAACTATATCTATCACAGCATGCAAAGATTAATGATCTGACAGGACCCATGGCACCAATCATATCACTTCTTTTAAACTGATTCACAGAGTGAAATGGATCTACAGTTTCATGATTCTATTCAGTTTTATGATGTCTGTGTGTTTCTCCATTATCAGTTGTCAATGGAGGCAATCAGAAGACATTGAGAATCAGGGAAGTGAACAGCCATGTGATCTCACTTTTGTTAGTAGCTCTTAAAAAAGTAAAATTAAAAAATAAATAAAACTAAGCATCTTCATTAACCCCTTCCCGACCGATGATAGGATTACCCCGTCATGATCTTTCAGTTCATCAAAGACTGGTGACGGTATAGTCCTGTGGGAGTTATTCACAAAGTGGGGGTTATTCACAAAGCTAGCCATAGGATCAACCGTAGCTCCGGCTGATCCTTCGGCTAGCTCTGGCCGCCACAGCCCTTCGGTTCAGGGGAACCGAAGGGCTGCTTTACGGGCTATTCACTATAGCCTGTACAGCTCCCGAAGTTGGGCGAGCCAAAGTCATATGCTTCGGCTCGACTGAGCCGAGGTGAAATCTGAGGTGGGCCATTGGTGGCCGAAAGCCTGCTACTGGCAGCTGTGCATTGTCATTACAATGAGAACTCGGTGGGTCACGGCCAATAGGAAACAGTTGGGCGGAGCTAGCTGTCACTGCTTGCTCCGCCCAATCGTTTTCTACTTTTTTAAACTGTTTTTCTATTTTGCTCGGTACCACGAAGGTACCGAGCAGAATAGCCGAGCCGAATGCCACAGATGTTGGATCGGCTGGGTCGAAGTCCTTCTGCACGTCAGCTCAGCCTAACATGCAGAGCATGTTTGGCTGACCAAAGACAGCCGAAGCAAGCCGATATATGACTGATTTTAGCCTATGTACGGCTGAAATCAGCTGTACAAACTTGAAGTGAAGAGCCGAACAATGTTCGGCTCACTTCGGGTCGGTTATTCACACGGCTGCCTTCAGTTGCACCATATTCACTAAGCTATATGAATGTTTCATGTGAAAATATTTCACTCTTTTAATAAATCAGCACCAGTGAGCCCTACTGTTTCTTCTCTGCTTGTAAATATGCAGCTATTAAGAGTCATCACTTAAGCATTTCAGAGTTAAACAACCGGAAATTATGCTAAAACAGATAGAAATACGTTTCTTTACAAGCTGGTTTATTTAAAGGGCCATCATCAGCTTTTGCCATGCTCTTTCCTATCAATACCAATTTTCTTTCTTTCTTTGTGTTGCCTGCCAATAAACATGCAGGAAAAATTTAAACACCAAAATTAGGCCCAGGCTCAATAACAGTGAGTTAAACAGGATCTTGTACCTCTATATTATTCATTTTAAAAAAAGGATCAAAAGAGGGTAGGATTCTCAAAAAAACAAAAACCCTATTGTTTTCACAAAGTAAAATTGCTTAATGTTCCATAGCAATAGAAATAAATTATAGCGCTCTGGTCAGACACTATTCAGATGTTCTGCCCTAGGATGAAGACATAGTTACGTTCCCAAAAGCTGGTCCAAAGGATATGAGGGTCAACAATCATCTGCTGCCTGAAGCAAACCATCTTCTTTTAACAAAACTAATAATGTATTAAATTTGTGAAGATGAAAAAGCTGCTTAGGTTTATAAAAGAAGTCCTGGCTTCAGGTTAGTATTAATTCATGTTCAGCTTACTATTACTCAATAAACATCAAAGTCTCCTACAGAAAAAAAATTATGTTTGCTGGCTTACAAGATCAGAGCCATTGCACTCTCTGCTGAAGTCTTTATTGAATTTTGCAGTAAGCTTTAGCTGACTGAACAGGTCAAGCACCACAGCTAAGACTTCCCTTTACTCTAAAACTCATAAAGTCCTCTCCAGCATGCAATGCTGCTGGCTAAGAAACTTGACTCAGCATAGGGTCAAAGACCATGACCTCAATGGAAAAAGGTCACATAGCTTTCAAACCCCAGTTCCTGAATTCCATTAACTTACATGCACTAGCTGTTCTTGTGTGTCGAACTCTCTGGAGCAGGCTTCCCAATGGCAGTTTGTCTCGTAGACTACTTCAGGCTCTTGTTTACTTTCATCTTTGTCCCCCTCCTCTTTTACCAGAGTCATTCCATCTGGCTGATCCTAGACACAAAGTTAAAAGATGGGAATGTTAAACTAAGAAGGAGGGGGAAGTTGCATCTCAATGGAAAGAAAACCCAGAGACCGGCTATGTTTAACTGTAACTAAATACTTAACATTTTTACTAAATGAATCAGATGATTAAACATAAAAATACAACTTTATTTAATGTATGCTTTTAGGATAAATATATTTTTAACACCCACAAGTATATACATTATATCAATTAATGTATCCTAATGTAAAGATGTAAAGAGGCCATCAACAAGAAATAATTTTAACGTTATTTTGAAATAAAAACACAACATACATAAATCTTGAGAAATAAAACAAGATGCGACAATATGCTACTAGTCAAATTTATAAACTTACACATAAGATTTATGCAAGGCTCATCAAGAAGAGGTAAAAGCTATAAGCTAATAAAATCAAGCAAAACTAAATATTTCTATTTTTTTTTGACGTGGGATGGGAAGCATAAAGTAAAATTGTTTTAGGGGTCTATACAGCTGGCATCCAAGTTACTTGTTATCAGATACACAACATAAGGTGAATTTCAATGACCACTCCTGTTACTGTCTCTTACATGCCACATAAAACTTCACAGCTCAGCTTCCTCCTTCACTTATAGTCATGGTAAGTGGTGCCAAAATTCAAGTCACATATTCCTTAGCTTTGAAAATATGAATACATACGCTAACTCATAGAAGCAATTAAAATCACTTTGTTAACCATGATGTATGAATCTTCTTACTGCTACAGCTCTTACTGTTCCCTTTTTAAACTAGTATAAGTATTGCACTTACCTGTATGCATCCAGCAGCTGGGCTTGGTAGCTCTTCCTCAGGTTTAATCTTGGAGCGTTTATTATGCATTGGGTCCCCTGTACTGCTCACAGCTGACTCACTTGTAGGCTTGTTCTGTTTAAAATGTTCATTAAGAAAACAAAAATAACTTTTGTGCTGGAAATCAATTTTTATTACCTGAGTATGGTAAGACTGGTGAAGACTATGGCTACACTGTTGGTTTTGTGCTCAAATCCTTTATACTATTTTACTATTAATTATACCTGACTATGTTCCATATTTTTAAATCATTTTATACTATTAAGATGTAACAATTTTCTTTTAAGAATAGAAGTTTAGAGTAAATGGTATACTGCTGACTTAGGTGTTCCAAGACATATTTATGCTCTGAAGTATCTGCTGATGAACTAAAACAATCATGTACTTGGAAAGCATAATAAAGCATTAATAAGTAGGGACTATTAAAAGTAATTTCATTTTGTTATGCCATTTTTGTGAAGTTGTAGTGTGTTAAATATTGGGGGTGGTTTACTAAAGATAAGTGAATTGGGGCAGTGGGAGAATGTGAACAAGGATAATCTCTAGAGGAGCCTGTTGGCAATAGGTGAACACCAAAAATAGATACCCAGTGGAATCACCAAAAGTACATATTGGCCTCTTTTTATTTGTGTAGACTAATGGCCCAGTAGCCTGATTTTCAATTAAGGATGGCGGTAATTTATTCACTGATGCATACAGACGAAATATCACTGTTTTATAAGAACACTTTCAAATAAAGCACTGTTATATTTTACATATTGATATTAAAGTGAAATACTCAATCATTTGTATAGGATCTGCTGTGTGTTTTTTTTACATATTTTATTTCTATATTACAAATATTTTACATTTCTTTTAAAGCTGGAAATATGAAATAATGCATTTCAGTATTTCATTTGTTACAACTTTCAGCCAGCAGAACTGTTGTTTTCTACATAGTATTACAATGGTGACTGTTGCAAAATACAGCTAAGTAGAACGGTAGATCAAAGTATACACACACCTGAACGATTCAGAGAAGAGCCATACCTCCTCCCTTCCTTCTACCAGACAGAGGACAACTTAGATTCTTTAGTTATAGAATCTACCAACACGTATACAGTGCTAGACTTTCTTATTATAATATACTGTATGTGCTCTGCAAACTAAATTTTATAGATGCACCCAGTATTAAATAGATTGTAAAATAAAGATGTTGTTTTCAATTTATAGATTTTTATACATACATCTGTTTTTTTCTTACTACATTTCACTTTAGTAATCCTTGTGTTTTATTGTTTAGTAAAATATACTGTATATTGGTGTTGTTTCCATTACATTAGAACTTTAATTATGTCACAAAGGTTAATTATTAACAGTATTCACTATAAATGTTTAAAAAAATTGGAATCTCACTCATTATGATTACATATTAATACAAATGTCCTCATTTCCTGACTTCAATGCTGCTCTGAGAGGTCAGAAACAAAAGTAACAGAGATACTTCATTCTCAGATTTGCACTGCAGTGATAATTCTTATATTAGGCAGAACTTACAATGAAAAAACACATCTAATGGCCACAGTGTCAGAAAACCTAGAGAGTATTCAACTGTTTGTATCAATGATATTAAGTTAAATAATATTTAATCAAACTATATTTAATGAAATATTGCAATATTAACTGTCAAGGAATATTTTCTGTGCATATGATTTTTTATATGTGTCTATGTAAAAATGTATGTTCAAGTCTATCGTATACAGTAAATGTCTATGTCTAAAACTGCAAATGCAAACCGGCCTGTTACAGACAGCATCTCCAATTGGTGATCTGAAATGTTGGAAGATATGTTACAATGACTGATAGATACTATTGTATGCATAGATATGTGACTGGTGTCTACTGTTGTTCATTACTAGGGGAGAAAAAAAGAGGCAGTAGACCTGAACTGACAGTTAATTAGGAGCCCGGTAGAATCACATGTTATTATAATTATGTGCATAATGTTAGATGTACATGACATAGGAAAACATACCAAAAAAAAAGGACTAAGACAGAAATGATATATGTGAGTATAATGCGTGCTCTACATAACTCCTGAACAATCCATCCTCGTGCTTTGAAGTTGCAACCTGGGATGGACAGGTAAAATTACATGATACATGAGTGCAAACCACAATGTCAAACCAAACCAAAAATATTCTCTATCAATTTGTAATGATAAGCACACATTTTATCAGGCTGTTTAACCACATTTAACTGAAATGTAATTCTGTAAAACCAGATAAATAACAGAAAAATTATTCTGGATTGATTTTATTTATCTTTTTAAATTCATAACTACCTAAAATCATTGTTTTATCTTTTTGATGTAAGTATACAAACTGTGTTTTACAAAGAAACACTGAAAACATGACAAAGAATTCCCAGAACAATGTGAGTTAGCAAAAGACACTGCCTGCCTTTAAACCTGCTTTATTTTATTCAAACCTCTGACCGAGAAATCAATCAGCCCTCTGTATGCAACAGCACTGGCTGTGTATAAAACAGTCTTTAAACAATAGGTGGTAAGAAGAGGAGAGAGATTATAAATAGCATATCCTATTGGCTGAATAGAAGACCATATAACATGCATATGTAACAGTACTTATTGAGTTTACTAAAATCATCATTACCATACATATATTTAATTGTGTCTCTCTCTCTCTCTATATATATGTATATATAAATATATATAGATATATATATATATACACACACACAAAATCATTCTACATTCCCATTTATTTAAGCATCCTTTCCCATTTAGTGTTGCTATAGCAGCCTGGCCTTGTCTTTCTTAGGTAGAAGAAGAAATGCCCATGCACCAGATGAAGCCAAGGGAAAAGTAATCTGCACCAGGTTGGCTATTACTTATTATAAGCTAGCCTAATGCAGATCCTACCCTGTAGTCATCTATCTATTTAGGAGCACTAAAGGATTGTGTACTCCAGCCCCATACAGTTCAGGCAGCTGAAACAAAATGTTCTCCTTTACAAGGTACAATATGGCACCTTAATAATGGTGGCACACTTGCTGACTATTGTTAGGATTTTTTTAAAATTAAAGACATACATATCATTTAATGCATGGCAATTGCACATACATATTCATTTTGGTGTCCCAGTTTTACTGCTCTGCCTGCTTGCACAAGATGCTATTTAACCTGCTGCAGATCTTGCTGTAAAATCTCACCTGTGTTACTTCTGTTGGGCCCACGCTGACCTGGACAGGGTTTAACACACTGGGAATGCCGGGATTAGTTCTCTGAGTAGGAAACGTAGGTGCAGGATGAATAAGTGGGGGACTGTGTCCAAATGCTGATCCGATGCTGTGCTGTCGATTTAATATATGCTGATGCATCTGTTGTAAGGACACAGGGGTAGGTGGGTATGTAAAACTCAAGGCCGGGCTATAAAGAGAGAAAATAATACAGAGAAAAGGAGAAAGAATTAGGAAAAGAACTGGCAAAATACATGAAGTACATCAAACCTATTTTACTCTTACAATAAGCACATTCTTATTATATATAAATGATATGGTTTATGACTATGCTGTATTATGACTATAGATACTGAGTCGGCTTGTTGTAGCTAGTTTAGTGGATTCTTGTACAATCAGCCGCACAGAAATCTGTGTCCATAAAAATCCAACTAGTACCGATAAATCACAGTGTTATTACCTACAGATGTTTATAGCCAGTTATACTTTGTGCAAACACATCCAGCTATGTTTTGAAGCAATCCACTAAACTATATCCAAAAAGCACCAAGAATTCACCACTCCAATTCCACCTCTGTCGGTCAAATGTATGCACGAGGTGCAGGCTTCAGTGTGCTCCCACTCCTTTTTGGAGTTTCATTTACAAGAGTGGAAACTGTTCAGTTAGCTTAATAAATAAGCTGAAGCTGTGTTCAATCAGAATACCAAATCACATGGGAAGTAGAAAAAAACCCAGGATATATGAAATTCAGTCATCCAATCATGTCCAAAATAAGAATATACAATGTTTTGCTATTTTCCTTGTGATTTGGTATTCTAATTGAACACAGCTTCACCTTATTTACTAAACTAGATGAAGATTTGATAAGTGAACAGTCTGTACTCCTTAAGTCAATCAACCATAAAATGTTAATACATTCCATACAATGAAAAAAACCCACAACTAATAGTGAAAGTTTTTAATGGATTCCATAGTCAGCTTGTCTAAGAAGAGATTTATTTTATCATAGAAAAAGGAATCTCTATATACACGTTTCCTATTCACATTATGAAGAAGGAAAATCAATTGGTAAATGTGTTTTGTGTGCATTGCTTGTCATATCAGTCATTTCTTTTTCTCAGACAATAGAAAATTTGCTCAGCCAGAATGTCACCTAAAAAGAATTTCCGTCAGTGCTTTTTGCACTGAAATCTACTGCAAGACTGCTGATCAATGTTTCAGTGAAGGGATATTCCAATGGGAGATCCCGTCTCTCTCTCTCTTTCAGTTTAACATCATTAAATGTCTATTAAAGCCCATTATGCATGCTAATACCTGTCATCACTTCATTAGTCCTCTGTGTTTCTGAGCCTACAGTTCAATTCTGGGGGAAATTATATTATGGCATAAAGACTTCACTCTGCAAGGCGGCATTGCCATACCACTCTTTATGCGCTCTCTTCAAATAAATTGTTCTCAGTTGCATACTTCAATACCAAACAAGATAAGGAATAAAATATTTAATTCATGCTTTTCTTATATCAAGCTCTTGATTTTTCTCAACATTATTAGTTCTATACATATTCTCACTAAGAAAGCTTTAATTTACATAATGTGACTTTATTTTATAATTATATACTGGATAAATAAGCTTCAAATCTATATTTACAATTTATAATGTGTGTATTCTATGTGACCTAAATATTTTTATATACTACATACCAAAATAATTTTATGTTATACAATTAAGGAAATGCAAGAAATGTTGTGAAACAGGCATAAAACCAAAATTATCAGACCTTTAATAATCATGTTTCACGTGAGACACACATCCACTTGGTACAGTATTTTCACAAGTAAGTTAGGCACCAACGTCATAGGCGGCCCTTTGGTAATGTTAGCGGCCCCCATAACTTGTAAATTGCCAACTACTGGTATAATTTGAATAACCATTCATGTGCAAGCTAAGACACATGACTTAAGTCTAGTTTAATAGATAATTAGATAACCTTGATAATTAAAGAGAACGCAGATTTGCCTTTTTCACTGATGTAAGTGAACATTCACTTTGGAGTGTGAAAATTCCCAGTTCCCTTAGTAATGCAACCCCATTAATTTTGACCTACCTCAAAGCTACCTATTAGAATTGCTGTTAATGTACCGGTATCTATTTTAACAGACTTCATACACTCATTCAGAAATTGCATTGTGTAGGAATTTGACCCCATTTAAACGTTGCTTAACTACTGGTATCTCTGTAACACTTCACATCTCTGTTAAATTAGTACTTATAAAGCTGAATGAAAGAGAAGTAATTTAGAAATTAAATGTCATTTTCTGTGTCTGCATACTGGCAACCCTTTTAATGAAGAATGAATGCAACTTACTTTTAGTAATATTAAGTGAAAAAATGCACATCTATAATTCAGAGCAAATTAACTCATTAGGGCAAATACTTCTGACAATGAACATTATTTTGACTTTTGTGATCGAGTGCAGCCTAAAACGGGACTTATTCAAAGTAATTATAAGTAATTAATGTTAAACTGATTTCAGCAACATTACCATTTAAGACAAGAATATGCTTATACATACCCTCAGAGAATGTTAGCTTTATTTGAAGAGAGCTTTTTTATTTTATTTTACACAGTGCTACTTTATTTTATAATGCAAAGCCCAAACATGGGGGAACAGTAATTGTTCTCTGCAAGAGTCAGTAGGAAATCAGTAATAATATTCTGTTATTACAAGCCCATAGTCCCTGCCAGTGTTCCTGAAAGGAGCTATGAATGATTACAGCCTGACTTTGCTAAGGTAACCACTGCGGATGATTGATAGGGCATTAATCAAAAGATGCATATCAGCTTCAGAATTTGTTCACAAGCTCCCTTCTAATAGCTGATTTCATGTTCACTGACTTCTATGCCAGTTTGTTCAATTTATTCTTCAATGTACAGTACAAACCATTCATCAGAGAGCACAATGATTTAATGCTCCCTCTTCCTTTCAGTGAACATATATTACGAAGTGTAACTACCCTGTTCTGTTCATTAAAACACAGGAAAAACAATGTCATACATGGCTTTGGAAGACCGGCCTGTGCTTATTGCAACGAAGAAAAATAGGTTGTTTTTAAAACAGCACAGATTAATATTTATTTTCTCAGTTTAATGCTATTTTGCAAAAGCTACCATTTATTCACACGCCTAATATAAAAAGTAAATTTAGGTAAATTTCCCAATAATTTCCAACTTTGTATTTTGTAACAATAACTCTGCCTTGTGCCATTATTTATTGTTTATTTCTGGATGCCTATATGGCCCTGACAGCTAAAAAAAACAGGCAGCAAAAACTAGCAACAAACTGCGCAGCATTAACCACTTGCCATCCGGGGCATTTTCCTACTATTTGCGCACACATGATAAAATATATATTTTTTTTACGTTGCACGGTTTTTGGGTGCATCAAACCTGTAGGAAAAATAAACTAAATTAAAATTTAGTGCACAGAAACATAATATAATACCCAATTTTTTTTAAAATATGAAAGACGGGATCACGTCGGGTAAATAGATACCAAACATGTCAAGCCTTAAAATTGCGTTCGCCTGTGAAGCCGCAAAAAATGTAAATACCCCAAATTTGCAGATTAGCAGATAGGGTAATAGCAGATAGGGTGTGACAGGTCCTCTTTATGCAGACATCAGTATATTATGTATATACTAATATAATTATAAATAATTTGTATATTTATATTAAGTAAATGTTTACAATTTTTAATGCATATTTGTTGACATTGTACAATCGCTTTAGCATAAAAAGAATGAAAAGAAAGACAAGTAGAGCAGCAAATGATTCAGAGGCATAAGGTGACAGCTGTTTGTTGAAAACAATCAATCATGAATATGCCCAACCACATACAAAGATTATTTACGAACCATGCTAAAAGCACTGGTATGCAGAAACCAATGGCAAAAAAAAATAAAATAGAATTTAGCTTTTACCAATGTAATAGGCTTACTAATGCAAGCTGATTTGGGAGTTGTTGTTACTGGTCAACCAGCACTATTCTTGATGCACTGTCATTTAACAAATCTAATACACTCACAATATTTGATCTGTGCATAGGCTATGGCCAGGGCTTGAAAAATCTGCTTGTTGTAATTAAACGGCCGGCCGGGAGTTTTACATCCAAGCGATTCGGGCATCTTTAGAGACGCCCGATCGCTTGTATTAGCAGCAGCTGTCACTGCCATTGCCGGTCCCGAGACCCGCTGTGCCCAGTGCGGCACAGCTGCTCTGTGACAGGACATCAAAGGAAGTTCAGTACACGATTTCCCTCTGCTCTCCTCTCCATCCCCGAATGCCGGAAGTGATGTATATTACATCACTTCCGCATTCTACTGTCACTCTCCAGCTCTAGAAGCTGCTGAAGCAGATCTCTTCTTCATGAGCTTCTCTCGGGATCCCTAGGTGAAATTAGGGGTCTTTGAGATGACTGATGTCTCCATAAAGAGGACCTGTCATGTAAATTGGCTATAGTTAAGTGTAAACAAAAAATTAAAAAGAGTAATAAAAAAATAAAGAAGCATAAAAAAATGTAAGAAGCATAAAAAATATTAAATTTGTTTAAAGTCCCCCGCCCCCCACATATACACGCCGGGTGTGCCTACATCCGAAAACAACGATTACGCCTATTGTGCCGTGCATGTTACATATTACCGCGCACGTCAGAGTGAGAGCAATAATTTTAGGGCCATTATTCACTGATAACATTAAAAGGATGAGCAGTAAAAGCGTTTAAAGTGTTGCCTTTGCTGATTTTCAGTGTGGTCGTTTCTTGTGCTTTTGCGGGTGCAAGAAATTTTAAAACTTGACATGTTTGGTGTTTATTTACCCGATGTGACCCCATCTTTTATATTTTACCAAAAATATGAGTAAGAATAAATGTTTTTTAACATAATGTAGGGAAAACATATTTTTTTCGAAATTTACAGTACTTTTTTCATTATATAGTAAACAATAAATTCCCCCACTGGTGATGAAATACCACCAAAAGAAAGATCTATCTGTCCCCAAAAATGTTAACATAAATTGCAAGACTATAGTCCGGTCATGCTGACTGCTGAAATTTTTGACTGACTGGTGGGACACCCTAAAATTTTTCAAGCCCTGGCTATGGCACATTGGCTTGTCTTTCCTTATCCCTGG